CTCCTCTTCCTCTGGTAGCATGCACCACCAGCACCCCATCCCTCCGGGCTCAGGTGGCGAAAAGTGTAGGGACAACCCTGGCTGAGACATCATATCACACTGCACAACCACCAGACCTGTCAGAGCGTTTTAGCAGGCAGGCTAGTCACATGAATGGGCTCTTATAAAATCTGGCCTTGAAAAGCCACGAATGCAGTCATTTAGCTGTGCATGTTATAATGCGTCACAACACATGCTACTTGGCATGTCATTGTTTCCAAAGGGTCTGTTTCACATGTATGCTTTGTGTTGCGGTGCATCATGGAAAATGGTTCAGGTGGGTTTTTTCACCTATCAATGTGCCTATCATCAATGACATGAGCCAGGATTTAGGGCCTATTTACATGAAAGGGCCTATGCATTGAGGTGCAGTAATATGTGTTGCGTTAAGCCAGTCTTGTCATTTAGATGGCTTCCTAATGCTCCAAAACACACAAAAAGGCACGCCTGTGACCTTTTTAGCAATGCAGTGCACCACAACACATGGAAGCCGATAGACAAAATTATGTTCTAAAAGTGTGCATATAATATTGTTCATCAATGGTCTAACCTTGCTTAGTGAAAGAAATATGATTTGTGGGGTTCAGGTAAATGTGAGGTAAGTACTTAATTTAAAACGCGCTGTGGTAAAAATGGATGACCAAAGTTAAAGGATTGATGGGCACTCAGTAAAAGACCTGGGAGACGTAACATAGGTGCCAATGTCTAGCAATACCCCTGGTGAACAGAGAGCTTGATTCTGACAGAAGGACGGTCCCTTTAAATTAAGGACAATTGGAAGCCATGACATAGCTGCAGCCTGCACCCCTTCCATAGACAGCTAATTCACAACTACGTGTTGCATTGGTGTTATGCTTTTATTTATTCAGGTTTCACGGTCTCATTTTACTTTGATAACAATACATTCTTCTTTCCACCTGTAAAGAATCCTACCCCACGCAGTTCGCCCCCATCCTTCACTCTCGACGTAACCCCGCACATTACTGTACACACAGCGCCCTCTAGCGGCAGCCGAACTTGCACATGCGCTGTAGCCCTCCCTCTCACGTCTAACGCTTTGTTCACTGCAGCCAATCAGAAGTGCTTTGCCCAGGTGGGCAGGATTTCAGCGGTGAAATGTAGAGTGACGTCACGTCCGGGGAGGTGTCACCGCTCAGAGTGGAAGAGGGGGAGCCGGGTGTGTGGTTTAAGGCTGCAGGTATGTGACGCGCTGTTAGAGCACAGGTCTCTGTCTGGGGGCTCATTGGGCACGCTGGCAGTTGTAGTACCATGGCTGGAGCGCTACAAGCACTGTATGGGTGACTGTAGTCGCACTGTATGGGTGACTGTAGTCCTGATGGGTTAACACCACTGGTATGTATGTAGTACATGCTTAGCCACCCTTGTGCATTGATCCTTAGTGTGTATCCCTGTTGGAGGAGGCAGGGGGGTTACCCTCACTTCCTATTCTGTATGACAATGTGAAGCTCACTCTCCCAAATAGGGACACCGGAAAAAAATGAGAGGGCTGCCATTACTAATCCTCATGTGAGCATACTAGTTGTCTGAATATTACTCATGACCAGCAGGGTTCAGTAAGACTTGACTATTCCCATCTATAAAATCAGGCTTCTTTATGCTTGTCCCAGGTAAGGGACACACATATTGAAGCAAGAGTGTAAACATGGCAGCCAGGGAATTAGCATTTGCAGAAAAGGTAGCAATGGCAGCCATCTATGTCTCTTCTCTATGTTTCCTTTTTAATGTGTATGTCATCTAAAAACTAATTTTGTAGGGTTAGAACAGCGGTGGGCAAACTCCAGCTGTGCTGAAACTACCAATCCCATCATGCATCTATCTCTGGGATTCATGCCTGTGACTGTGGGAATCTTGCAATGCCTCATGGGACTTGTAGTTCCATAACACCTGATGGGCTGGAGTTTGTCTGCCCCCGATGTGGAGAGTGAATCTGATTGCTTTGTATTTTCTCTTCAAGGTCACACTTCATCATGGGAGAGCCTCAGCAAGTGAGTGCTTTGCCGTTACCGCCGGTGCAGTACATCAAAGAGTTCACTGACGAAAATGTCCGCAAGGGTTTGGTCCCCAAGCCGCCAGCGCCCGTCAAGGACAGCTACATGATGTTTGGTAACCAGTTCCAATGCGATGACATCATCATCCGCCCCCTGGAGAGCCAGGGCATCGAGCGGCTGCACCCTCAGCAGTTCGACCACAAAAAGGAACTGAGGAAACTCAACATGTCCATTCTGGTCAACTTCCTGGACCTACTGGACGTCTTGATACGAAGTCCCGGAAGTATAAAGCGGGAGGAGAAGCTGGAGGATATGAAACTTCTGTTCGTTCACATGCACCACCTCATCAACGAATACCGACCCCACCAAGCCCGCGAGACCCTGAGGGTGATGATGGAGGTGCAGAAGAGACAGCGTCTAGAGACCGCAGAGAGGTTCCAGAAGCATCTCGAGAGGGTGGTAGAGATGATCCAGAACTGTTTGGCCTCGTTACCTGATGATCTGCCCCTGCCTGACAGCGACGTCACTGTTAAGACTGAACGTGTAGAAGAGCCTTGTTCTGACCACAAGGACACGCCCACAGAGGCTACCTGTTCAGCCAGAGAGGCAGCGGTAGACAAAGATGCAGCCATGTGTGTTATCATTGATGAGATGACATAGGGGATATTTCTAATGTTTTCATGTTTCAGGACCTTGGCCAGAGTTTTTGGGTCCCGACAAATATTTGTCACCTCCTCAGATACTCAGGTGTCCACCATACTTCTCTTGAGGACTCCTTAGTGAGGCTACGACGTATGTACTTAGGCAATATGGAAACAATGTTTCAGGGAACCATTGTTCTGCTCTCAGGAATGTATTTCTACCTTTTATTATTGATAAGTTCATTTGCATTCTGTTTGCCAAGAAGTATTTCCTGTTTTCTGTTTGGCATCCAGCGGGAGGTGTCCTTGTCTATAAGTTTGTTAATGTTATTCGGTTCTTATTTGCAGAAGTAAAATGCTTTGCTTTTTGAAATACCACGGCTTGCTTTGTAGTCTTTTGTTTGCAGTTCAGCTACAAGAAGCGTCATGTAAACTGTTCATGAGAGAAATATGTGAGCTGCCATTGTTGATTACTTTCTGAAAATGCAGTTTGTCTGGCTTCAGTACTTTGAGTCACAGGACACCAGTGTGACAGTTTGGTACTGGAGTCGGTATAATGACCAGGCACCAAGCGTTTTCCTAATGGGATCAGAAATGGAATCTATATAGATATTAGGGCTGCAACAACTAATCAACATAATCGATGATTGAAAAAGTTGACAACTTTTTCAATAATCGATTAATTGGCTTCTGATTGGCCCCGTTCTTGGCTCCACACACGCTGCGCGCCACACCTCCTCCCCACCTCCGCCCGCATCCACACGCTGCACCTCCACCCGCCCAAATCCACGATCGGCACAGGGACGCGGGGAGAAGAAGTAAGGAGGAGCAGGTGTGAGGGGATGACGGCTGCCGATAGACAGTCCTGATCTCAGAAACAAGTTGTTGGAAGACTGCTTAGGTAAGCCTGCACCCCCACCCTTATTAATCGGCTAACCGATTTTGAAAATAATCGTTAGCTGCAGCTCTAATAGATATATTATTTTTTTGTAGTCAGTCTACCGATACTTTTTGGTAGATGCTGGTGGTTCAACCACCTACTTGATGGTATGTTGGTGATAGGGCCGCAACTAATGATAAGTTTCATATCCGAATTAGTTGGGTACTTTTTTTTTTTTTTTTTTAATTGGATAAAAAAAAATGTAAATAATTACCATCCTTAATTTAAAATAAAATACACAAATGCAGTTTTACAAACATAATGTTTACTTCAGAATAAATCTACTTGCACAATTTTTTGCAATTGCACTGGAACGCACAGCATTGCTCTACCGGGCGATCACACTGTGGGTGGGAGGTGTGTTTGGGATGCCAATGAAATTAATGACATTACCACGCACCTCCCTCAGCAGCATTTGGTAGGCTGAAAATGACTTTTTTTCCCCACCTTTTTTATAATTTTTATTTAATAATTGTATTGTAAGCACATGGCGCGTTAATAGCTTCAGTCAGGGAATGTCCGCAGCCACTGGCAAGATTCTGCAGACGGCAGCTGAATGTAAATACAGCAGGCAGTGGGTTGGTGTAACCCACTACCTACTATGGCCTGCTATTGGCCATATTAAATTGCAATAGCCAATAGCAGGCTGGCTGTTGCACCTGCCCACTGCTTGCAGTGCCCTCCTTCCAGCATGGAGGACAGAGCTAGGGGATCCAACCGACTAATCGATAATGAGAATAGTTGTCAAGTATTATTATTATCAATTAGTTGGTTGCAGCCCTAGTTGGTGACATTTAACATGACTTTGGATTGCACCAACCATGAGTTATTGTGCGCAGAGAACATGTTCTGCAGGATTCCTGTGATTAGGACTAAGTTGGATGGATTTTAATGTACACCTGTCAAACAATCTGGGCAATTCATACTCATTATAGAAGAAGTTACCCTCCATGACAACCCTAACCTTATATGAGGAGCGTGATCAGGGCCTCTCCTGCTTCCTAAGCTTCCCTTCCGCTAACGGGTGTTTGCATTGGTCGGGTCTTTTCTGCCCGCAGAAAAAAAATGTCGTCTGGCGACGGCAACCCGCCAGTGCAGCAGTGCCGTCCGTCCGTTTTTTTTACAACGGGCGGACAGCAAGTGGTTAAAGAGAAGTATTTTACTTCTCTTTTGGTCTTTTGGACTAATGCTTGCCATCTGCTGACAGCACAGAGCCGTATTGTCAGGATCCACCCCGGCTGCCTGATTGACAGCTGGCTCTGCCTCTATGGAACCACAGCCAGCTGTGCCCGGCCCCTATCCTATCTGTCCCTCCAATGAGCGCTGGAGGATCAGACAGGGGAGGGGGGAATCCCTGCTGGGAGCCGTGACTGACAGTCAACACTCTCTGCAGGAAGAAGAGACCGTGAGCTGAGCAATCGGCACTTACATGATTGGCCAGCCTTCAGTATAGAGCCGCCATGGGACAGCTACAGCATCCTCCGCCAGCTCTAAGGAGTGGGGAGAGTAAAAAAGAAATTAACCCCGCTCTTTGGAGCGGACGTGGGACACTCCTCTTCTTCTTTAATCTCACGTCGTTATATAGTTTACATATCGTGTATCTGAGGCCCTGACTTTTTCAATGAACGAGGAAAGCTCTCCGACTGAGAGGGTTTATTGAGGCAAAAAGTGTCCTATGCTTCAATGATTGTCATTTGCTTAGCTTTGTGCTGTGACATATCTACAGGAGCATTGCCTGCATTATTTGGTCATTCACTGTAATGCAGCACAAGCTCCCCCACCTAGAGAGCATTTAAAGGCTACAGCATTGCGCTAGAGGCGTGGTATTCATGTATGTGGTGCACAATAGGGGCACTGGTGTGTTGTGTTCCCATTCATTCTGAATGCCATTCTAGAGCACCTCAGTGTGTGTGTTGTACTGTGCTACAACACATGGTACCATAATAGCATGCGTGCAGTGAAAATAAAATGCATGCACTATTTTTTACAGCACAACACTGCAACGTAGACTTTTGTGGCACTGTGTGCTGCAGCACAATGCAGGTCCACTGGGAGACGTGCTGGGGTGCCATTCAGTATGCAGGACACTTAGCTTGCAGTGCATTAAGCTGTGCAATAGCGTGTGCTAAACACTTGTATCTAATGTCTTTTAGTACGATGCTGTAGTGTAAACCAGCCCTCAATCATAGGCACATGCTTCCCAACGTCACACAGGACCTGGAATTGAATGTTGTATTGACTTATTTATTGGGAAGATGGCGTGCACTAGTGATGTGCATGGACTTGTTGTAAACACAAGCCTACGCAAAGTCACTGACGCCCCCCTCCCAGCCCAAGCAGTCATGGCAGGGGCATTTCCCACCCTACAGCTACATATTACAAAGGGGCGGAGAATGCCCCTGGTGCAAATGATTGGGCCAGGGGTCGGTGGGGGCGGGTCAGGCACACGTTTCTACATGCTCGGGCGAACTCAGACAAACTTTGCACCAACTAATAGTGGTGCAAAGTTTGCATTTCTACTATGGGCCTGTTTATTTGGAAATAACTTTGTCTTTACTTAAGATAACAAAGTAATACATTATAATAAAATAATGTATTTTGTTTTAGACTTTACTTCTTTTTTTTTACGACAAACAAGGGTTTCTTTTGGTGATATTGTGTTGCAAAAAATATTTACATTTGTAATCAATCTATACACAAAATGTAACTATACACAAAAACAATAACCCTTCTTTAAACAGTTGGGTGTTTTTTTAATAGTGTTGCGCTGAATGAAAAGTATATATGTTGTTCTGTTTAAAATGACACTAAAACTGTGGTTTTGGTACGAAGCATTGTGAAGTTAATTAATCAAAGGCTTTTTTTAATCGGACATAAAAATAAAAACAAGACTAATAAAAAAATATCAAGAGTTAGGAAAATAGAAAGGAACACAAACGTTCAAATGCAGATTGAGGGCTTGTTTCCACCAGCTTGTGTGCTGATCGTACTGCCTTGTGCCCGGAACGCAAGGGATCGCATACGCAAAGTCTCCTTGTGTTCTGGGCGGGAGGGGGGAGGGGGG